GTGTGTGTGTGTGTGTGTGTGTGTGTGTGTGTGTGTGTGTCTGGGTGCACACATGCACATGCAGAGGTCCCAGGCTTTCTAACCCACACAAAATCAGGAAGTAAAAATAGTGGACTCTATTGTCCTGGGTCCGAGACCAGAAGGTAAGGTGACAGCCTGAGCCACATCTGCTTTGCCCACAGGTTGATATCTTCCGTGGCAGAACATAAGCGCTCAGTCAGGCCCAAGCGCCGGGTCCAGGCTTCCAAGAACCCTCTCAAACTGCTGGCAGCAAGAGATGACCTCCTTCAGGAATACACGGAGCAAAGGCTAAACATTGCCTTCATGGAGTCCAAGCGGATGAAAGTGGAAAAGAGTGAGTGTGGGGCCAGGGCCTGCCTCTGGCCTGAGCACTGCCTACATGCTGTTTCCCTTTATTGTCCTGCCTCAGCCACCTCAGAGAGTGTTCCGAGAGTGTTCGGAGAGCACTCCTTAACAAAAGTGAGCTACACACACACATGTATGATGCCTGACTGGAATTTAAAGATTTCTCACTAAATTACTACTTAAATTATGCTGTTTTGCTGAGTTGGGTCTCAAGATGAAACTGTCTCTGGATTTTATTTCCAGTTTTCAGCTCTGGCAAACCCAAGCATAGCAATTCTCCACTGAACCTAAGAGGGTTTGAGGAGATCTCCTGTGAGGACCCAAGGAGATGCATATCCTCACCCAGAATTTTAAACCATGCTTTCAGATTGTTCTGGGAGAGGTCCTGGGACTTGGTAGAGATAGGTTAGGGGGGTTAGGGTGGAGGGTCTGTGACTGGTCCCTGACCCTGAGCAATACATCTTGACTTTATCTGGCCCAGAGTGTGAGTTCCACTACATCCAATAGTGATTTCCATGGTGGTAATAGCATCTATAATCTTGATATTTAAATATGTTTTACTGTAGTCTTTATTTTTCCTCTTAGTGTTTATAAATCAATTTGCCAAAGGTTTTTGTTTTGAGAGTATTTAGTGGTGGTGCATGCCTGTAATCCCAGCACTCTGGACTATATAGTGAGACCCTATCTCCAAAACTAAGGGAGGAAGGAGGGAGGGGAAGGGGAGGGAAGGGAACTGGAGAGGGAAGGGAGGGGAGAGGGA